CTGGGCAGCACCGGGAGCGGGTCGCGCAGCGCCGCTAGGGGGCGCGGCGGCGGTAGCGGCGGCCCCCGCCCCTCGTGGCCCCCGCCCCGCTCCGCTCGGCGCTCCGGTTGCGCGGCGGGGAGCGCGCGCAGAGGCGGCCATGGAGGGCGGCCGCGCCGCCGCTCGCTACGGAGCGCTGGAGAGCACCCGGTGGGCGCCCGGCGGCGGCGCGGCAGGTGAGGGCCGGCACCGGCACCGGGACCGGCACCGGGGCGGGCAGGGGCACCGCGGCCGTCCAACTTTGCCCCGGTGGCTCCGGCGCTGCCCCTCGCCGGCCCTGCTCCCGCAGCCTCCGGTGCTGGCCGGGAAAGGCGAGTTGCATTGATTGAATGGAGCCCCGCGGGTTCCCCGGGGGGAAGCGGGGACYCTGCTCGGGAGGGTTGCGGGGACGGAGGGACGGGCAGGACGGAGAAGGCCGGTGTGTAAGGAGGGCTGGAGCGGGCAGCAGGATGGAGCCCGGGGCGGGCACGGGGCGCCGTGCCGCCTGGCAGGACTGCAGCCCCCAGCTCCCACCGGCCCCTCCGGGCTCCCCGGGCAGCGGGTCGGGCCGGAGGCTCCCCAGGCTGAGTGGGAAGGAAGGGCCGGTGCTGCAGGGGTTCGCACAGCCCGGTCCRCTCCCCCTGCCCTCCTTCCCCGTCCCCCAGTCCCTTGCAGCAGGCAGGGCTGGCCCAGGCAAAGGGAAAAGCAAGGACAAGGCAGGGAGCAAGAGCCAGCTCCGCCCAGGATCCCACCTGCTGCCGGGATCCAGGGTATGGGGGGGGACAACCTCCYGGGGTTTGGTGTCCTGCTGTCACCTCCCCAGGCAGTGCTGGCACCCAAGTCCTTACAGCAATTCAGTCTCTGATTGTGGCCGAGGGGAACAAAGTCAGAGATGCAGCTTTAGAGCAGACTCCCAGAAGGGCTCCATCCGGCCAGGTACTGCTCAGCTTGCTGAGAAGGTATCCAAGTTTTAGTCCTCCTTGGCACCTTCCAGCAGAACAATATGTGTATTCCCTCCCACCTCCCCTTTGGAAAATGGAGACCCYGAGCTTGGGAAGATCCAGGGCTGAGCACTGCCATCACCTGGATCCTCTCTTCCTGGCAGCCAGCTGACACCACAGTGGTGCAGGAACTCTTCAAGCATCTGCTGAGCTCAAGGGGCTGACTAGGGCCCAAGCATTTCCCTGGGGGCCTGCCAGCGAGGATGTGGTGGCACTGATGTGTATTGGTTTGGTGAAATTCTCCAGAGGGTCCTGGGGGGGATCCTCAGAGTATTAAAGAATGTGTATTAGTATTTTTTTTCCCAAATGTTGCCCTATGTGGCAAAGCTGTGTTTTTCTTGTGAGTTAGTTAGTGGGGAGAAGTGGGAAGGGAAGCAGTGCTGTAGTCTGATGAACTCTTCCATCCGAGTAGGATGAGTCCTTCAGGAACTGTGTGCTTCAGCTGCATGTTGACGGTCCTGGCATCTCCCATCCCCTCCTGTCCCTCTGGATGGTTTCTCCCAAACCATGCAGATAGCAGGGCCTGGATCTCCTCTGGAGAAGCTGTCCCAGACCCAGGCAGAGTTTGTTACTCCTTCTAGCCCAGCCTGTGAATGGAGGGTTGATTTGGACGGGCTGTAGCCACCTACTCAGGCTGCTTTCTCTGGCAGTGAAAAGCACACAGCTAAGGTAAGTACCTCTTGGGATGAAGCCCAAGGTAAGAGCTTTGACCTCCYTCACCCCCACAGTGTTGTCAATCAATCGCCCAACTTTAATCATGGAATCTCAACCTCATGGAATCAATCTCATGGAATCTCAGTCTTATGGAATCATTTGCCCAACTTTAATCACTGGAATCTCAGCCTGCACTGGTTGCTGCTGTGACTCATCTTGGGCTTGCTGCTGGCTGTCTAAATGTTTTCGCCAAAGCCATATGGAGTGCAAGTCTCTARCTATTATACTCTTCATTAGTGATACTCTCTTCTCCTGGGCCATGTGTGACAACTAGAGCATCTCCAAGTAAAGCTTTCTGCTCTTACTTGTTTGCTGGGTTGAAATGATGCCTGTCCAGGGGTCCCTTTGCTCTGGCTAATTTCTGCACCCAGCTCTTCTATTCAGCCTTAGCAAAACCATCCTTAGGGAGATCTGCTCTTCTGCCTGTACAACATGCCAGGTTTTGCTTCCTTTCAGGCTTCCGCACTTGCCACTGCCATAGGACCTTGTGGCTGTCACATAGGGTTCAGGGGTGCATGGGGTCCTTTGGACTTGTCACCATTGCAGGAGAGCTGCAATCTGGCCCGTGCCTGCAATTGCTGGTGTTTAGGAACTCTGCATCAGTCCACACCTGCCTGGAGAGAGCATCTCCTGAGCTAGCAGGAAAGATCTATGTAAATCACAGTCAGTATCCTAGACTTCTTTAATTACATGGAATCAAGGAGGAATTTATATGAGGAGGGAGTTCTGATCCAGCCCTCTAATCAAAGYAGGTTTCCTGGCTACATCAGGTTGCTCACAGCCTCGTCCAGGAGATTTCTTAGACCAAGGATGGRGATCCCACCACCTCTTTGGTTCCTGTTCCAGTGACAATCACCTTACAAGGAAAAGAATTCCTAATATCTAACTGGAATTCCCTGTTCCAACTTGTGCCCATCACCTTTTGTCCAATTCTTATGTACTTTTGAGAAGATTCTGGCTTCATCTAGTCTGTATTCTTTGACAGCTGAGCTGAGGAGAGCCCCCTCACCATCTCCAGGCTGAATAAACCTGCTTCTTTCAGTCTTTCTCTGTATGTCCTGTGCTGCAGCCCCCTGGATTCCATGATGTTCAGTTCTGGACAAGATGATCTTGATGTCTGGGCAGATACTGGCAGATGGGAAGGGGTCTCCATCAACAAGACGATCTTTCCATCCTATCAGRAGTCTTCAAGGTGCTGTCTTTTAGTCACCTGGACAGATTCAGTGGTTTCTTATGCGGGTATTAGATGTGTCCTATGCAGTGACACAGCTGTGCCCCCTTGTCCCAATATTTCCCCCACCCCACAGCATCTATTCTGCATTTCCAAGCTGAGTGTCCAAATTCAGTGCAACGGGGAATTTGTATTCTCTCAATATCCAAAAAGCCACAGCTCAGGGGGGTCCACTAGGACTTTCTCCTATAGTCACTGAAGATACAAAGGGAAGAGAGAAGCTGTTTAGGATGGTTTTYAAAGGAAACAGAAGGCAGAGTTTGGGGCTGAAGGAGGCCAGAGTATCTGTCTCTCTCCTGGGGCTTTTGGGCAAGCTGGGGACAGTGGTGAGGTGGAGAAGGAGAGCCCTGGTTGTAGGGCTGATCTTTCCGGCTACAGTTGGGGAGCTGAGGGCTGGCTGTGCGCTGGGCTCTTGGGGATGCCTTGGTGGTGCCGATGGGATGAAATCCCTTCCCACCCTTCTGATGCAGACCGGGGAGAGCAATCCGGCACTGTCACCTCCGCCCTTTGTGTGCAAAGGTGAGAAATCACCTCTCCTAATGAGGTTATGGGATGAGAAGGGAGAAGAGGTGACATTGACACCTGCATTAAGCCCTTGAGCTCACGCAGTAGGCAAGAGCTGACTGATAGTCTGAGCCAAATACTAACAGTAATGTTGGCCATTGCTTCACCCAACGCGGGCCAGGAGTGACAGACGCCCCTTCCCCAGGCCCATTCCTGTGCTACCATACGTGATTAGATTTGTCCTTAGCTAATGAAAGCTTCAGTAAACTTATATCTTTGCTTATTGGAGCATCTGTAAAATAATCAATCTTGTCATTTGAGCCTGGTCGCAGAAATGATACGTCAAGAAATGCAGCCTCTTCCTGCCAGGTCTAGTGCCGCCCTGGAGTATGGCCTAACCTCAGGAATGGCTGCTTGAAAGTGCAAGCTGGCTCTGCTGTCCACAACCCCACGGATGACATTACTTGCTTGTCTGTCGTGTTGGTGGGGACATGTGTCCAGAGAGCCACGGTAAGCAGGCAGCTGAGCCTCCCTGGCCGGGACCTGTGTGATCTGTGTGATTCTGTGACCTGGTGTGCAGCCCTGGGCGCTCAGCGGGTGCCAGGCGCAGATGCGCCGCGTGGTGAAACATCCAGAGTCACGGGGAGCTCCCGAGCRCAGGGAAGCACCGGCTGCAGCATCTCCGTCCCCTAGCAACTCTGTGCAGACCCCTAACAACAGCAGCCGGTCCCCTAGCAACCACATCCCAGGCCCTAGCAACCCCGCTCGGGCCCCTGGTGACAGGGCTGAGGAAGGGTTGAAGGGAGATGGTGGCGCCAGCTCGCCCAACCCCATGCAGCTCCTGATCCAYGAGCCAGCAGTGCCTCCAGGGCAGGCTGTGTCCCAGCCATACGATGGGAAGACATCAAGGGCTCAGCGTGCTGGTCTTGGCTTGAACGTGACTTGCACGGCCAGGAGGGGTGGGAGATAATCCCTAAGTAATCCTAATGCACTCCTAAACCAGAAAGAGCAGGAAACCCTTCTCCAAACCAGCCAGGCTAACCTAAACCGCTTGTATCTCCTCTGTTAMACCTGCTGTTAAACCAGCTGCCTTGGAATCATGGCTCACTGAGAAGGATTTCTCAAAGCGGGTTTAAAGGGAGAATAGGTGAGCAATTTGTGCCAGCTCTTTTGCCATGTACCTTAATGCTGACCTAACTCTTCCTGCCCTGTAACCTTTAACTCTGTCTCTATTTGAGGTTCCCAAGTCAAACACTGACTTCTCCAGTTCCCAGATCTTGGGTTCCCCAAAAAATCCATCTTCTAGAACTGGGTTCGCCTTAGCCRTGTTTCCTCCTACCTTTTCAGGGATAAAATCCCAAGGCTATAGGGAAACCAACATTTTGGAGAGGAGAACGGTGCCATGGAGATTCAAGGGAAGCAGAATTTGTCCCTGGTGCACAATGGTTTTTCATGTTTTTTTCATAGCCTGGCTTTACTGTAGTTTCCCCCCAACCCTGCCATGCGCGTACATGGCAAGAGAGCCAGATTAATCTGTGCAAGATGAATATGTCATTGCCTGTCACTGATAAAGCCYATCGAYGTATCTCTGAGAGGCAGACAWKGCTGGGAGGTGGGAGCTGGAAGGGRAACCTCAGACAGCYTCAAAACATGCAACATCCKTGTGTGATCCATGAGATAACCCCATGTAAATCAGAACACCTGTATCTGCATCAGATTGGGGCTGGAGGGAGAGGCAAACTGGGTTGTGGTGGTTGTGGTGTTGTGTTAGGATTGCTCATCCTCTGTCCCAGGCTGGCTGAGCCTGCCACTGCTCTCTTCTACAACACAAATAGCATCCTGTTTTCCCCACATTCTGCTGGGAAGCTCAAGAATATTTGCAGGTGGTCGTGGGTGAGGGTATAGAAAGCATAACGTGTTAGATTGCTGTTACAAATTACTTATGGTGGGGTGGGATGTTTGCTCGGGCATCTTGAGCCCTGAGCAAGTGACATCCCCTTTTCTTGCATCGGTTTCCCGAAGTGGGTTATAAAAGTGGTGTTTGCTGCTCCAGAGAGCAAGGCAGCTCAGCTGGCCAGTCTGGGCACCATGTGGGCTTTTCCCCTCAGTGAGCTGGGAAGGATGGGGGCATCATCCAGTCTGTGCTGGGAGAGGAGCAGCTCTCGGATCCTCACCTCCATGTCTCCTAAGACACGGTGCTATAGATAGGCCGGAGGTTACTTTCCATGTGGGCTTGAGTTCCATCTTGCTTTCATCCATGCATGTATGAAGACGAATTGCAGAGGTCCTTGGAGTTTCACTCGCTCCCAGCAAGGAGCTGGAAATGAGTTTAAGGCTGTTATGTCCTTAATGGTTTTGCTAATCTAGATCRCAGATGTGTCATGTTTTCATGGCAGGGGTCTGAGACAGCCCAGGCTGCACTTTTGTCCTCAGCATCCTTTTCATGTTTTCTGCTTGCTGACGTGGCTCCTATTTCATTGGCAGAGCATGAGATTATTTCCATGGCTGACTCGACCACAACCATTGATGACATTGAAGGGGAGCTCTTCAAAATTGAGAGGATCAGAGAAATCCTGGTGAGGAGGGAGTCAGAGCTACGATACATGTGAGTATCCTGCTCACCAGTCTCTGTTCCTCAAGTACACCAAATATACAAAGCAGAGAATTCAGTGTTAGTCCCATTAAATCTAAGCAACCCAATCAAACTACAACAAATTTGATTTGTTGGGTTACAGCAATGCTAGGATTCATAGTCTCTGTTAATGCAGAAAAGAGCCATTAACACCATTAAATTGCTGTGGCCAGACCAGCCTGAGATCCTGTGCTTTCAGGTCAATACAAAGCCTTTTTTTTGTGGTAAAGATCATATTTGCTGAACTGCAGCACTTAACCTGCTGCTTGTCCAGTGTGTTTTTGTCTCCACCAGATCCTGGACTCCAGGGAACCTGGTAACAACCTGGTAATGGCCACATAAACCCGTCATCTTAGGGAGCTGTGAGCAGAATTCRGATTTAATGCTGTGCTTTCAGTCAGTGTGATTTGGAGTGATGGCCTCTGAGGAATCAGCCCAGTTCCCCTGAAATACATTGCTGAATAGGAATTTTGGAAGTAATTAAAAAGTGAAGTGCTTAAGTGCTTTCCATGGCAACTGCTACCTGACTCTCCAAGGTGCTGTCAGCAATCGCATCCGTTGCCTCTTCTTATTCCTTTATTTGGTGTGCATTTGGAAAATAGAAGGAAGTCATGCACAGAAGTGGTGAGCCAGGGATGTGGCTGCAAAATTAAGCACTTGAAAGTGAGGAGTCCCCCAAGAGAGGTACTTGAGGTGTGTGCATGTGTCATGAGGAACTGGAGCATTGCTGCTAGCTTTCAGAGTGCACCGTTGGGCAGGACAGCAGCTCTGCAAGCCCACGAGAGCCGGGGTTTTGGGCTGAGAGAGCTGGGGATTAGCTAGAACCCAGAGAAACACAGTGCCTGTGCTGCATTGCCCTGCGGAGATGTGACTTGGCTGGTCAGTCAATAACTGTCYGTGGTTTTGTTCCTGCTGGAAATGCCAGACTCAAATATTACAACATTTCCGAGATGTCTGTGCTGCTGGGAATGTTGGAACTCCCAGTATTCCTCCTTTTTTTCAAAGCAAAAGGAAAGGGCAACATTTCCCGTGGGAGATTCATCCGTGTGCATCACCTGCCTCATGCAGGAGCCTGGTGCCAGGGTGGAATTGGGGAGAGCACAACCAGGGCTAATGCTGCAAAGYTGAACTCAAATCATGAAATAAATGCATGAAAAAAAATGCAGCTCCAGCAGCGGCTTTCTGGGTGCTTGTCTTTGCCATCTCTCCCACGTTTTATTCAAATGAGGGTTTTTATTAGTGCTCATTTATTATTAGCAATTTTAACAATCTTTGGCTGCAATTTAACTTTAATAATATTCCAGTTATTTGCTTACTGCAGTGTTACTAAGTGAACTACTAATAAGATTTTCATGCTTTCAGAATGAGTGCTTATGGAAAGGAAGCTTAGCTGCCTATATATGAGTTTATGAGCAATGGACAAATCGTGTGCTCCTGAAGCAGTGGGATGTAAAGCAATAGTGAAAGAGAGAGGAAAAAAGAAAAGYAATAGTGAGAAGAGAAAGAGGAAGGGGAGGCCAGCTGTAGCAATGCAGCTTTGGGAGGATTCAAGCTGGCATTTATRTGGAGAAGAGCCTGGAGCAGGCAGAGTAGGTGCTGTTGATGGGACGTGAATCCTTTTGTGTCAGGGCACCAGAGTTTCTAATGGTGGATCCTGGAGTCCTGTGGTGCTTTGTGGTCCCATCTTCAGAAGCTGTGAGGGCCYGCATGGACCAGCAAGTGGAAGAACAGGAGGACATAGCTGTTGTGATAGCCAGCGCAGGGAGCACTTTGGTCTGTGCTCACTTTTCCCTTCAAAGTGCAGTTCCAAGTTCCTGCAGTTCTGCAGTAATGGACCCTTTGAGGGAGAGACTGTCTTTTAGGTGTCTGTCCTGTGAAGATCTCCTGTTGATGCTCTACGTGCAAGCTGAGGGCTTTGTCRTGATGAATCAAGGAACAGTGGGTAAAAGGAAAGGTTGATGCATACAGATCCCAAATACCAGCATCGGTGGACCCACTCTGTGCCTCACATGGGGCTTTCACTAGTCTGTGAAACAAGAGAACTTGTAGTATGCAAATAAATTAAGACATTGTCAAATGGAGCAAAAAATAACACCACCAAGAGGAATAGCTGGGATGTTTTCCTTCTGCAGTAAAATCGCACAGGATCCCTCTTGGACAGTCTGTTTATTTTCCTTTCCCTAATTAAAATACTTGTGGTGCCCTCCACTCAGCTGCAGCCGTGAGAAACTCCCAGCAAATGTGACTCATCCTGGACCCGGTGCATGGAGTGACTCAGCAGAAGGGCCAGCAGGATTATYGGAGCTGCAGAGATGGCTCTTAGCAACACATGCTTCAAAGACACTTCTGTTCAAGGTGCTACCGCAAGCTGCAGATCATGTATTATGCCTTACCATCACTCACAGCTGCGGAGCTTGATGTCCCAGGGATCTCAGCTGTGCTCTTGCAGGTTGACTGCTTTGCTACATGTCTTGCAAAGCTCACAAGAAGTCCTTCTGCATTGAAGGTTTGAAAGAAGTGTGACACTTGAGCTAAGATGATGGAGTGCCTGGTAGGGCTTGGTAGGGTAAGAGGAGTAGATGGCTGTTAAGTTGCTTTTCTCTGAGTGAAAAATGGTTCAGCCTTTGGAAACTCATCTTCAGAGCTGCACAGTAACTCAGGCATTACGATGTGCTCATTACATCTGGAAAATCTAGAGGTGGATTTTTGGTGCAGGTAGATAGTTTCATTTAGCCTCAGATCATGAAACACAGATGAGGAGATGCCAAGTGATCCAGCCAGGCATCTCACCCATACTGTGATAAGCCTGGAAAGAGAAGAGAAACATCCCAAGTCTTGCCTCAACACATCACCCTTGATCAGGAGATCCACAGWCTTGCCAGAGAGACATCTGGTAGAATGCTGTTGTAGAAGACCTCAGGAGGTGGGGAGCAGGCATACACAGATTAGAGTCACCTTCCTGGGGTGTCAATGGAGCTATTGTCAATAGAGCTATTAAATGTTTGTTTAGCAAACGCCAAGGGACACAACCTGTGCAGCACCAGCAAAAGCTGTGAGATTAAATGAGCTATCATTTCCTGTGAGAAGGCTGGTAGATCTGTGTTCCCTTGGTGCATGCACTGAGATCAGTGGGTTGGTTGGGTTTTGCTCTAGACAGTTTGTGCCTTTCCTGTCTCCTCAGTGGTTACATTTGTGTCTGTGCAGGATGGATGATATTCAGCTCTGCAAAGAAATCAGCCGACTGAAAAAGGAGCTTCAAAAACTCATAGCCCTTCCAGGTAAGGCTCTGTAAAGTTTCAGAAAGCTGCATGCAGCATTTACAGTCAGCAAAAGATTTCTGTGAGATCTTCCATTCCTGGAGACACAGATGTTGTCTGCAAGAACAAGAAATATAGTTCCTGAAACCTAGCTGGAGATCTTTCTTAGGAGCTTGACTGCTTGCAATGTGCCTCCTCTGAGGAGGACCATGGGTCTGATACAGGAGGAGGAAGGGGAATGGTTGAGTTTGGTGGAGATGAATGGGGACATGTTGTGACCTGTATGTCCACCAAGGAAGACTCCCAAATGAATCCAGAAGACAGGAAAAGGACATTTTCAGACTGCACCATAGAGGGGTTTCTTTGGAAGCTGGGGAGAGCATATGCCTTCAAAGGCCTGAAATAAAAAGCAATAGGCAGGTGACACTTTGCTGGGACATACTGGACTCCCAATCAGTCACATCCATAGTAGGATAAGTTCTAGAGGCACACCCTGCCACAGGGACTTGGAGATATCCCTGGCTTAGTTAATTCTGCATTCAGGTTGCAGAAAAGACTCAAACAGCTAAGGACAACATGAGCAAAAACTTCAACAGGGAGGAAATGCTGCTTTTCTCCCCTCCACTGGCATGACCAGTGGTTCACCATGTCCCTGCGGCAGCCAGCAAACCACATTTCTCTGTTCACTGCTTGTGGAAGGTCCCTAGAGGATCCCCATCAGCTAAAACATTCAAATAAAAGTACACAAAAAAAAGCGTTCATTATTTGGATGAGGAAGAAAGATTTTCCCTTGAGCTGTCTCCTCGACTGTTCCTAAGACTATGCCTCCTCCTAAGACATCCATGTTCAGCCCACCAGTAAGGACTTTACCTGTGTTTCTAGGAMCAGATGGAAGAAATATGCCTGCTTATTTGTTCCCATGAGTTTGGTCATCCAAGCAGTAAGATCTGGACCCCAGTTATTTCACCACAAGTGGAACTTCTCTGAAGATCTTGAACTTATCCAGACCAGTGAGTGTTTAGCAGGACACAATGCCTCAGTCCAAACAGCAGACCAGCTGCACACATCTGTTTTCCAGAGCATCCTCTCAGCTGATAGATGCTTTACAAGAGATTATCTCAAGAGGCCTTGACCCTTTCTAATACTTTAGTGATTCTGTGCTATGTTTATGAATCAACATGCAGATTCAGATAGGTGGGAGACTGGCTGCTGCTTCGTATGCAGGTCTTGGTTGGTTTGGATACAACCTGGCTGTATCCAGAGGAGGCTCAGACTGGAGAAGAAGGGATTCTGGCATAAATATAGGAGCTGCTTGCAAGTATCCATCTCAAGTGAGCTTTTACTCCAAAGAGCCTTTGGTTCATAAAAGAAATCTTGACATAAATGATGGTTGAGAACTGGAATTTCTATGAGCCTGGGAAAATATGACTGATTTTCCTTCCTTTTTTTTTTTTTTCTTATTTCTGGACATTTCAGCATTCTTAGTTTCAGCTGAGCGCTAGAAATGCTGGTAACATGCAGGGTGCTCCTTTTCTTTTTATAAGTTAAGTCAGACTGTGCCAAGAAATGCTGCAAATTGCTAAGTTTGGGAGGCCACAATAGCAGATTAAAACGGAAAACAGGTATTATTCAGATAAAGACCCAAATGCATCAGTGCTTACACAGAGCCCAGCCAGAGCTGCAGCTGGAAATCTCACCAGATCAGATCACTTTTAATAATTCAGAGGCACACCACAGCTAGGAGGGACTCTGATATCAGCAAGTTGGAAAAAAAAATATTAAATTTGTGCAGTGGATATGTTTACTCTGGTGTGATTTAACTTATGAGCGGAGATTGTTAGTTAACTCCCAATAGCTGGAGTGAGGGAATGAGACCACATAAAGCCAGTGGATCATACTATTCATGTCCCTGTATGTTTGGGTAAATAAGATGTAACCTCTTCCCAAAGCACCTGATCATTTTTGATAATTCCCTCTGTTAGGCACTTGTATCCATGGCCGGACCTGCAGCCCTGTGGAGAACCAAGCTCAGAGGCAACTAAATAGAGTCTCTTGAGTCCTGCATAGCCCAGCTCCGTGTCGAGACTATGTGATGGGGTGCACTAGCTTGGGAGTTGCAGGCTAAACACATCCCAACTGAAGGATGAATTGACCTCTCTGATATCCGTTGGACCAGCCTTAGCTGCGGGGAGATGTTGCCTGTCAATGTGTTAAATGTGTTCCCTGTGCTGCAGAGACTGAGAAGTCCAATGAGGAGAAGCAGAGAGAAGAGGAGCTGGTGCAACAGATACACAAGCTGGTGGAAACACGGGATTTCCTGGTGGATGACGTGGAGTTTGAGAGGCTCAGGTAGCATGGTGCAAGTTAATCCCCCCTTTTTTTTTTTCCTCAAGACCAAACACTGCCTGGCTAGGTCAAGGGACCTGATCTTTGGTGTGTGTGGAGTGTATAGCAGATTGCAGAACAGAGCCCATAGCTGGAACATGCTCCTAAAGGCATTATCTGCACACACCGCTCTTAAATCTGGATCACCATCCAAAGTGGTGATATTCCAGGTTCAACTCCTATGGCATATGTTTGACTTCCCTGAAGCAGGAGCAGACATTAGTAAGGATCCTGTTCCCTGAGTAGTTCCTGCTTAAGTGAGAAAACCAAGGGTGCCTGATGCCCTCTCTGTCCCTATGGAGTCTATCAGAGTGCTCCCAGACCAAGTCTTGCAGTCAGTGCTACACAGTGAGGTACTGAGTAGTCTCAAACCACTGTTCCAGGCTGTCTGCACATGCAGGTGGAGTTTGCTTTGGTGATCACACTCAGCTTATGCCTTACATCTTTCTGAATGCTGTAGACTAGACACATCCTTCCAGAGAAGACTTGAGCTTCTGACATATTCACATGACTCTAGAAACAGAGGTTGAAGAGGCTAAGGCAGTTATTGACTCTGGAGATAGATAATTGAGAGAATGGCAGGGCTACTTGACCATCTGAGTCTGGCCTGAGAAATGTATACAAAGCAGGAATTTATGAGGAAGGAGTGAGAAAAGAGCCATCCAGTGTGGATCCATCTGCAAGAAATGGTTCACTTGTGAGCATGTGTTAAAACCCTCTCTGCAAAGAGGCTGCTTTGCTTCCTCCCGAGAAACAAAGCCAAGTTGCTTCCCRAGAATGGGAAGTTTTGTTGCAGGTGCTGTCAGCTCCGGAGGGCTCTGATTCAGGCCTCCCACAATCAAACAAAGGCTTTCACTGTTGTAGACCTAATGTTTGATTCCTTACTCCTGTCTCTCCATAGAACATTAGGGTGGGTATACAGTCAYAGAATAAGGTGGCTTGGGCAGAAGTCTCTCCTGGCTTCCAGTCTGTGCTATCATGCCTCACTGGATGTTTCTGGATACCTCTGGATACCTCAATGTTCCTTTCCTGTGTCGTAACCAATCTCCTTTATCACAGGGAAAGGGAAGAAGACAAGGAAATGGCAGAGTTCCTGCAAAGTGAGCTCTCCAAAAGCTACCTCCAGAAAGCAAGTAGGTGGTTGATGAGTTTTATTCCTTGCATAGATCCTCTCTGTTTTCTCCACTTCACTTAATTGTCTTCTGCCTAAATTTCATTGCGCTCTGTGGGCTGTTTTGCCTGGAGGGCATCTGCTGTTGGTGGAGGGTGTAAGAAAATGGCTAGGGGTGCTGGTRCTCAAGACCGTGTAGTGGAAACATCCCACATTGGCATGGATTCTGTGCTTCCACAACTACCCTTACAATTCCACACAGCATGTTCTATGAGAACTGCGATAGGTAGATATCCTTTCATGTCTTATGCATTTCATCTGACTCTTTCTAAACAGCTTGTTCTGTCTCACCACACTGTTAGCTAAGATGAGTTACGGTACACCATCCACTCCCACTCTAGTCTTGGTCTCTGAAGCAGGTCACCCTTTTCTTYGTGCCTCCAGAATTCCTGGAGAAACACATCTTGGGTAGTGTGGGAGGCATGTCCAGTCCCACGTGTGTCCTGCCTTAGAGACACCTGGGAAGYGCATCTGGTGGCATCATGATGGGCATCATGATGGCAGGAACTCATGCCCAACTTTGCCCCTCCAAAGGGCTGCAACCCAGCACATCCAACAAGGAGGGGCATCATCCCAGCACTGAAAGGGCCTCTAAGAAGAAGAAGCAATGGGCCTGTGCCCACCAAGCAAATGCTGACCCTGAAATAAATGGTTCCTCTTTCTATAGCTCCTGTCAAAGAGAAGAAAATGACTTCCCGGGGGCAACAAACGTCTGTACCATATGTGACCAAAACAGGCCTCACCCTGCTCAAGGAGTGCTGTGGCTTCACCTGCTCCATCATGTAGGCAACCTCCAGCTCCTCTGCACAGGACATGATCACGGTAACATGCATGTCCTAGGARGCCAGGCTGGGTGAGAGGGGCTTCCTCAGGGTACAGAAATTCCCAAGTTCCCATGTAAGGGGGTGAACATCCATCTTTCTAGCACCCGAGCTTCATTTAGAAGGCGATGAAAAGGGTTAAATCTGAGAGCTGGGACCTGACTGAAAGGTCTCYGGGGAAGGATACATCTCGTCCTTTAATATTGCTCTGAGTCTTCCATTGTAGAAAGTGGCCTGACACGCCATGCAAGTGTTAATGTCACTGGTACTGGACACTCTGCCAGGCAGATTCAGCCCTCCAGCTACTGCGAGGAGCGGGGGTTGCACCGAGGGGATCCCATGGTCACAAACCCTGGTTTCCTGTCTGTTGCCTTTCCTCACCAGGTCTGCAGGCAGAGTCCACCACCTGCTCTACTCCGAGAGTTTCAACTTCCTGTCATTGATCATGCTTCCCACTGCAGCACCAACACCGAGGAGACTTTCCAAGCTTGGATGATGGCATGTGTTCCTTGTGCCGCATCACCGGTCGTCTACTTCATGACATCAACAAACACCGAATTCTACCYAAGCTCAGCTTGGAAGAGGCATGTGCAGCAGTGTCAGGCAAGGTCATGACAAAGAGGACCGATGCGATTCTTCATCTGAAAAGAGTAATAACACAAGCACTGGGAGCTGRTGTTCAGAGAACATTGTACTCCACCATCCAAAAAATGCTGTGGCCATGGATGAGCTCTCATCTTTGGCCTTTGTATCATCTTGTTGGGTGTCTTTTCTATGGATGCTTTGTGGGGAATGTCTCTATTTTAGATTTTGTTGTTTCCATGAGTTTTAATGCAATGTGTGGGATGGTTCTGGATAAAGCTGTGGAAAGTGGGAAGTACAGTCTCAATAGGCAGCTGAGTGAAAGGTTGATTCTTATGGATGCTGTGTTGAAGAGTGGATGAATTAATTGGTTTCCCCATCTCACTGCTACCAGCTCCAGATCAGGAGAACAAAAAAGGAAAATTAGAAGAAAAGGGAAAATGAGCAAAGTTCGGAGAGAAATTCAGGAGAAGAATGGGGCAAAGTGCAGAGGGAAGTGAAAAACAAGCAGGACACTAAAAATGTCACAGGGTAAGGCAGAAAGAGSAGATGAGAGATACTGTCACTGCCAGAACCGTACCAAGTCTTGTCCTCCAGTCTCCCAGCCAATGTCTCCGGGCTTCGTGAGCTACACATAAAACACTGTGTGARAGATGCCTGCACCCCAAGGTGCTGCAGTCTATGCTGTCTCTTCTGAGCACTCATGTCATGATGGCACAGCTAGGACTGCTAATACCCATTCTGGTAGAACTAGGGCTCTTTAGCTGTGAAGACTTACCCTTAGCCTGTGAAGCTCTTGCCTTGTTKATCCTTCTGTCCTTTAGAGTGGTATGGTTTCACTGCAACATGGAGTGAAGGAATATGGACTAGATGACCTCTGAGGTCCCTTCCAACCTTAAGCATTCTATGATTCTATGATATCTGAAGCTGTTGCCCAAGCAGGAGTGGTGGGTAGTGTCACAGGTCATTAYTGGTAGCATCTGGTCTGTATCTGATGAAACAGATTGGGCTCCTCTTACTCCCTGTTCTTCTAGACCTTGTCCAGTGGTTGTTTTTCTCTGTCACTCTGCAGTTACCCACATGGTGCTATATGGGTGTTTTGATCTGAACAGATCAGTGGTTGAAGACCTAAAAGACCCTCTGTGTACTTGAGCCTTCCCCGGGATCAAATTGGGGAGAATAAATAACTGAACTAGTTTGCTTGGTTGGACTGAGAAGGAGACAAAAGTAATGGTTCAAAACTTTCTCTCCATACTGATCCCTGTCTTCATCTTTCAAGGTCGAGATTTCAGCTGCTGAAGCAATGCTTGAGTGGGCAGTGAGAATCGGTGAGGAGGAAATGGGGAGAATCCTGACCTGTTCTGTGCTGGTTTTCTGGTTGTATTCAGGTAGCTGGCCATGAGGAAGGAGACAGACTGCTGTTCTGAGCCTATTCAGCCTGTATTTTGACTGTCAGCAAAGATGCAGAGCACACAAGAGCAACACTCTTTCATGTGTATTTATTTCAAACCAAATAAATAAATCTCTGTTGGAAGCTTGGCTCTTAGATATTTCTCCTGCCTGGGACCTTTGCAGTGAGGCGTCTCACACTGTGTCAGCAGGATGGTTAAACTGAAAAGAAAAAATGATCCAAAAACAAGCTCCCAAAACTAGATCCCGAAAAGCAATTCTGGATTTGGGGGATTGCTGGTATTGCAGTAGTACGGACTAGTTCCTGCTTCTGTAGTAAGACCTATAATCTGAACCTTTCTGGCTATGGGCCTAACATTTCTCTTTTGGATCAGGCTGAAAAATCTTTGGAAATGCAGGAAACTGCCTCTCTGGGTTGATATTCTCTAAGGCCTAGAGAAAACATGCAGCTGAATTCATTTAATCACTGATATCAGGTTTTTTTTCTCCTCACCAGGCCTCAGTGGTACCATTTTTAGCTTGTTTCTGCCACCTCCAATGTCTTCTACATGTGGCATTTTGCTTGATGCAGCTCTGAAGRGATTTATCTCTTAACATCCCTCCCCTTGACCCCCATGCTATGACCTCCTGCCAAGTCCCAAATAAATGCTCGTTAYGGAGCTAACCAGCCAGGAATGCCTTCCCAAGTTGCTGCTGAACAGAGAGTTTGTTGTGTGTTCAGCACAAGGCTGCCCACATCTGCTTGCAGGGTGTTCAGTGGAGGCAGGTAGCACGTCTCCAGCTGAAAGCACGGTGGGGGATCTGGAGCAGGTCTGGGCCTCTCTGTAGTCGTGCTCTGGGTCAGAGCTCTCCCCACCACGTGAACGCCTGGCATGTCCCACCACTCTGGCCTGCACGTTGGCAGAAATCCCACTATCCGTGCCGCACCTGAGCAACTCCATGGGCCAGCACGCAGAGCAGAAAGCAGGGTCGTTGCTAGTGCCTGCCCACACGAATCGAGTAACACAATAAATGTTGACAGAGTCCAGATTGCACCAATAACAACATTGCAGTGCGCTGCCGATTTTCCCTCCAAAAGAGGCAGAACAGGCTGTAGGTTGATGCAATACTTTAGTCATCTCTGCCAAGAGAAAAAATCTTAGAAGCAAAAGCGAAAGCAAACAAGAAAATCTRCAACCCAAACCCTGCAGTCCTCTGAGAAAGCTGGCTGCTAACACAGACACCCAAAAGCCCTGTTCATTATACAGAGTGTCACAGAACTTTAACTCTGTTAAGTAATTTTAGTCTTAGGTATCATATCCTATGGCATAGTGATTTACGCTGCTTTGCTTCACCCAGCCCAAGTAGGAGCTCAGGGTCCTGCCACCGCATTTGCTGCTGCTGGAGTGCCTGAGCCAAGAGCATGGCTCCAGCACACAGGAGAGGAAGGAATAAGTTGGATGGTTCACGAAGCCCTGCCAACCCTGATGTTCCCCTCTGTGGAGGGTTTCAGGACCAGTGCAGCTCCAACTTGGCATCTTCCATCATCTCATAAGTGAGGAGAGCAGAGTTTGTCTTTCTGCTGGGCTGAATGTGCCTTAGTTGACTTTTCCTTAACTAGAAGATGATTTCCTACCTTTCCAACTCACTAGGAAAAGGACAAAGGGAGGATGAAATGTGTTTTATTGCTTGGAGCAGCCAGTGTCCCCCCCCACCCCATATCCCACTTGTTGGGGTTTCCAGGTAAGCCTAAGTATCCCTTCACCCCAATCATGACAAGGTCAATGYGCATTTTGGGTCACTCCTTCCCCTCATAGGCACCATCTCTTGCCAAGGCTTCTTGCAGAGRCATCTTTAGGTACTCTTAGCCACATGAGAAGAGGTGAGGAACACATAATGTGGATACCATGCAGCTGTCTAAGGCACAACCTGTGCCTCCCAATCTGATTGGAGTCTCTTCTGGCACCTCAAAATGGACAAGGGGGAGTAGGAGCTAGAAAGAGAAGGGGCAGCTGAGCCACCTCCCCAGGTGGATATGGGCTCTTCAAGCCCTTCTCTCTTCCTAAGGGTCAGGTTGCATGCATTTAAGGCTAACTCTCATTCAACACAGCTGGGATCAGCCTGATAAGGTGTGGGATGGAGCTGTGTGAGGAGAAGCTGTGGGGAGTCTTGTTTGGAGTTTATTCCTCTTTSCTTGGGAGCAGCTTTTGTGCTGGGGCTTTGGCATTGATCTTTGCCTTGCAGGTAAGCCTGTGCCTAGCCTTGTACCTTGCTGATTCTCRCCTAGCCTTGTAATTTGATTTTTGGTTAGGTCTWAGATCTGCCTTATTGCTACAGACTRTTTTGGTAAMYATTGGACTTTAATCAAGCTTGGTCGTGGATCTGCTGTCCTATTCTTGCTCCTGTACTGTGGAACTACATCCTGTTGTTGAGGGCATTGCCTGCATTGTTGTGACCTTGGCTTCTTCCTTGGAGGAGCAGCCCACTATTGTTCCTTTCGGGTAGTTGTTATGTCTTCTTTACTGTTTAAATGTAATATAACCATGAAAGTGTAGGCATGTGCTGGGTGCATAAAGTTACAACTACTTCTACTTTTCCTTGCCAGCTCAAATGCAAGCTGCCACTCAACTCCCACTGCTCTAGGGATCTATTCAGAAAAACACAGGGCATGTCTTGGCCCACACTGCATMTACATGTCAAGGTTTCAGAAAGAAATGAGCTCTCCTTCCTTCTGTATTAAGGGAAAAGGAATTAACTGCCCTTGTCTCTCAAAAGGAGACTTTCACTGTGTTTTTCTTCTGTAACAGTATCRCCCCGAGGACCTGCCCAGGGTCACTTTCTGATGATGGATGGTAACTCAATAAGCTTCAAAGACATAAAATGAACTTAAGCTCAGGAGGCTTGAGCTTTCATGATAAGGTCTGACCTAAAATACTATATTTCTGAGTTTGTTCTTATAAATTCAAGCTTACAGAGAGAGCAACCGTGAAGATGTAGAGGGAACATCTTATCCACAGACTCTGTGTCAAGTGTTCTAGTCCTGACCCCTTTCTTCCTTTGCTTTCCAAACAGTCCACCTACCTCCAGCTCTGGGGTGCATTTGTTATGCTTACGGCTTATGAAAGCACAGCTTTTGAGGGAGATCAGTCTGACCTTCCTTAGAGGAAGTGGTCAGGTGTCTGAACAACTTCTGGGAATTGCAAACATGCACCTTATGCATGGATTTGAACTCTTCCTGAAGATGCATTAGCCAAATCCACCTCTCTGGACTCAATATAGGAGTAACTACTGGACAGGCGGAAGCCCGAACATATTGGTATTGATCTCCTGGCCTCAAAACCTGTAAGCTCATGCCATTGGATGCTTGATCCATTGGCCTGGACTCATATTTCCAGTGCCATTTTTAGTGTAATTGCTTTTATCAAAAGTTAACACTCATTATGAATAGATAAATGCTTGATGCAATAGCCTTGATAATTTCATCCTTCATCTATGCCTACTTTCTACACCTTTCCTATGCTTTTTGGCTCAAGCCGTGGCTCTGTAGAGGAAGCCATGGGGACAAACAAATAAGGATTCAAAGATGTGCTGGTGAGAAATCTCTGAAGGCTTTTGAAGCACCGTCCCCCACCCCATTGTGATGTCCCTTTGCAATATCATAGTCCTCAGGCTGGATAGGAGACCAACAGGTGAACAAWAGGACTAAGTCCCACCCCAGATGCTGTCTCAGCCTGCCCTTGCTACTTTGCATGCTTTGCTGGCATGCTGTCTCCCCTCAGCCAGAATCCCATTTGCCAGAGAGTACACATTGCCATGTCCCTCTGAATTGAAGCTACRTGATGGAGCTGGCCTGATGCGTCCAAGTCCCCCAGTAAATGAAGAAATGCTTTAAAATGTATTATTTTTAATAGTATGAAACTTCACAGACGTAACCTGTTCTGGAGTCTACAACACCCTCTTGATTCTCTCTCCTTCCCTTGCCTTTCCCACCTTGCTGAGCTGGTCAAGTGGGCACGTCCCATGTAGCTCTTCAAAGCGGAGCTGCTTGCTGGCGGCTAAGAGTGGTGCCTTGCTGGCGACTAAGATGGTCCTTCCTTTTCACCTCCATGCAGATGTCTGTGAGGTCTTGGATAAACTGTTGAATCTAGGGGGGTCAAGTGAGATGTTAAAGCTCAGACAACAGRAATGTCTCTTATTGTAGGTATAAGAGCAGGAAGCAGAGAACTTATTAGTCCCCAATGACAAATTCCACCAACTGAACTGAGTGAGAAGATAAGGTGTTCACCTTGCTGGATCTGTGCTGCTAGAATGGGCTATTGTAAGTGAGTCTGAGCTCACGACATGGATAAATGGAGCCAGACCTTGGCCATGGATTGACTTTCAACCTCCGTCCCAGCCTTCTTGGCTCCCACTTTTGGTGCCTGCATGTGGACCCACACCCGGCCGCGTGTGGGCCTGCTATGTGACAGCTAGGCACTGTTGTTTCTCTGGGCTCTCCCCTCCCTTTGGACAACCRGGGCTCATTACTTCTCCCTTTGCTGCTCAGGCAGAAGTGGGTGGCCTGCTTCTACCATGTCCAGCTGTTTGTGGGTGTCCTCCACCGGCACGTTCAGGCTCTCTTTCAGCTGCTTGCTCACACACTGGAAGAGGTTGAGGGTGGCCATCTTGATGGTGCCCAGCATGAGGGTTTTCTCGGCAGCTGTGTTCTGGATGTGGGCCCAATGGGACTCCTGTGAGGAGACATGCAACATGTGAGCAGGTCATAACAAAGATGCTGCTTCAGCACTGTTCTGCAAGTGCTCGTGCTCAGCTCATGGTGAGAGCAGCTCCAGAAAACCACTCCATTAGAGGCTAGTCAGAGAGAAGGCAGTGCTGAAATCCATCCTGCAAGTATGGAGTGGACAGAAATACGGATGGGCTGACACTTGAAAAGGACACGAGAACTCATCTCTTCTCTATAGTGATTTGTTCTGCAATGTCCTTTACTACAGGTCTGAGGACGTCAGTGTTTCTAAGCACTGAGCAGAGGCTGTGGA